GCCTGCATCAGAAACCAGGGAAGCAAGAATAGTGACGTAAGAAGAAAAGTGAAGACCACCTGGAGCCGTTACAAACACCCAATGATGCAGAATGAAGCCCCAGAGCCAGCACGTCCTCTCCAAACCAGGCAGCAAAAGGCCCTGGGTCCAGCCCACCCCATCCAAACCCCTTTCCAAACCTTTCAGGAAACCCTCCGCGAGCCCCAGTCCTCACCCTCCCAGATTTCCCTGAACCTTTCCTACGATCCACTGATGGAAGGTGGGGGATGGCCATAGCACTCTGACGGCGGAAACACGGACCCTCTCTCTCTGCAAGTGGGAGCCGATGTATCCCGGCAGCTCAACCTCACAGGCCAGCAGTGGCCACCCTGCCTAAGGGAGACAGCCGTGCAGCCACCCAACCCTGAAGAGTCAGAAACTCATACACCATGGAGCGACCACGATTATCTCAGCAAGCCTCCTTCCAATTGATTACTGTGGAAGAAGTACACTTTGTATTCTTCTTTACCATGTATCCTATATGGCAAACTCAACTTCTCTGTTTATCTTCACAGCGTCCCGAAAATTACGTACCCTTCACACTCAGCTTTAAGAGACCAAATCCTAACCCAGCTCTCCCACCTCTTGTTGGGGCCCCAAGCCTCAATTCCCAGGCTGCCTGGGTATTAACAACAGCTGATCTTACTCAAAAGACCATCATGAGTGGCAAGCTGGTCCAAACCAACCTGGCCACTCATCAAGCCATACCTAATTCTGCTCCTAATTCCCCTCAGAATTTCACTCCTACTGAGCACCGTTGCACAACTTTTCATACAACTGGGCATTCGGGCTGCCCAGGGCCTTGCCCAGACTATTGCCATCAAAGCCTTGGGCAAGAGGTTCTTTTGCAGACTCCCAGCCTTGTTCCGTCCAGGCCAACCCTCCACCTTCCCAATCCCAGGATCACTGCCTTGCCCCTTGCGAGCTGGAAATGGCTCTCGAAGACGTTGCTCCCTCGTCCTATAGATAAAGAAAGTAGTCTGGATGTAAGGCTTAATTGAGTCCTCTAAGAACCAAAGTTCCTCCCCGTGTGCCCCAGAATTGACCCTAGAAAGTTCTGCCCAAAAGAATGCGCCTTGACGCAAAACCCAGCAAACCAAGGACAGTGACGTAAGAAAAGACAAGACCACAAATGAACACCTGGAGCCATTCTGAGACCCTGATGATGCAGAATGACCGCAAGCACACACACACAAATGGCCTGTGATGGATATAAGGACATTGACCTTGTACTTGGGACTGATGCATCCCAGAGCTTCAGACTGGACTGAGGCACTATTCAGCCTCCCTCGTCTGCACCCAGACACTGAATGCATCTTACTGTTTCCTAACACTTACTGACCTCACTTCGAGTCACCTCCTCGAGCCTTGCAGACATCACATTCAGAGTTTAGCTAGGGCACTTAGTTGGCCTAGGTGACAATCCCCAGGATTCCAGGTTGCTTTTTTTGCATGGCTCCTCTAGCAAAAAATGCTATAAATTTTATGGCCAGAACCCTTTCCACTAATAATTACTCATGCTACCAATGTAATATTTTTCCATTAATTTTATTGAGAAGGGCGCTTACCAAT